TTGAACCACCAGCCTTCTGGTTATCAGTCAAGTGCCTTAGGCACTATGCTACCAGAGCTCCCTGTTGGGACCATTAGTGAATATAAATAGGATGATACTTGCTTTTCAAAACCAGTGTAATACAGTCTCATGATTGCAAATGTATTTTACCCTAAGTTACCATGATAGTTTGTGAGTGAGTACAGGTGTATAGAATTAATATAAAAGCCTCTTGTGCATTTAACGATGATAAAAACCTGTCAGTGAAGTTTGTTTTTGTTTTTGTTTTTATCTATGAAATCAGGGCATGGTTGAATGGATGGAGTAGGACATGTTGGGTCAAGGGGCCTTGGTGATATTTTCTTGATTCTACTGGTGGTGTGTGGTCTGTCTTTGGGAATTCGTTTATGTTTTTCTGCCTTTCATCTTTCTACTTCCTAAAAAATAATTAATATTACCATCCTTTTCCCTTCGCTTTCTTACAATGATGGTGTGAGAAGATCTAAGACAGATGTGTTTGAGCTGTTTAGAATAGACACTTGGGTGGTAACATGAAGTTTATTAGAGTAAAAACAACCATGAATGTACTATAAAATCTTTATAACAATGTGTACCTGTTACATAATGGTAAGGTGTTGTTATAATATTCTGATAGGAGGCCATGTTATTGAATTATTGCTCAGATCAGTTGGCACCTCAGTTTTGTGTACTAAAAAACACCTCAGCAGTGGATTGAATAAATTCAGTTGATTGGAGATTTACTTAAGGTAAATTTGGCTTCAGCCTACATAGCTAATAAAAAGGACTTCACAAGATGTTTCTAAAACTCATTTCCAAGTACTTAGGCTTAGCTTTATAGCATTTTTACCTAACATTAAATGAAGCCTTAACTCTACAAAGGAAAAAAATCCAGGGTTTCTAAATGTGGTAAAATTCTAACATGTAAGGATAGGAATCAATTTACTGACAATTAGTGATACATTTGATTATTTTTGTGGTTCCAGATAGCAATTATTTCTAATGTAATTTATTTTGCAGTGAGGGCCGAGGCAAGTTGACGGTATTTTCAGTTAAAGCTATGTTAGCAACCATGTGTGGTGGAAAAATGCTGGACAAACTAAGATGTAAGTATCTTCATATTATTTGAAAGATTTTATTTTCAAATTCAGACTTTTAAACAGTTTTAAAAGGATGATAATATGTTGAGTCTGTGTTTTCACTGCTACATCATCTTGCAGCAGCTAGCCCAGAGTTTGTAAGTTATGCCACCTAGTGTTCAGATGTAAAATTGGTTAATTTGTTAATGTTTCTTTAAAGCAAGAAAACGGAAAAGATTCAGAAAAGAAAGGTTGACATGATGAAGTTTTATTTAAAAAAATATTTTTCATATTATTAAAAATGAATGCTTAAAGGTGATCATGAAGATTGCTTTTAGGTAGAAAATAATTTGATTACTTTTACAACATTGATAAGTTTAGCCCTTTCCTTAATAACTCCATTCTTTATCAGGTGGTATTTACTGTGATTAAACTGTTGCTTAGTACCTTAGGGAGGAGCTCTGGTGGTGTAGTGGATAGGCATTTGGCTGTTAACCAGGGGGTCAGCAGTTCATAATCTGCCAGCCGCTCTGCGAAAGGATGATGGGGTGATCTACTTGTGTAGAGATTTACAGCCTCAGAAACCCAGTGGAAATTGCTATGAGTCAGAATCGACTCGATGGCAGTGAGTTTGGTATTTTTGATTTTTTAGTACCTTACAGCCAAATTCAACTATTTAAAAATTGATAACTTGATTTTTTTTTTTTTTTTCAGTTATCTTTGCTTATTTTTTTTCCTTCTCCATTTTCTGGTCAACATGAGCCAGAACAATTTGTCATTTGGGCATTTTAATATTCATTAGATACTACAAGAAGGTGATAAAATGAAGAAACCAAGTTGATTCTGACTCATAGTGACCCTATAGGACATAGTCGAACTGCCTCAAAGGGTTTCCTATGCTCTAATCTTTATGGAAACAGACTGCCATATCTTTCTTCCGTGGAGAAGTTGCTGGGTTCGAACTGGCAACCTTGTGATTAGCAGCCAAGCACTTAACCACTCCCATGAGGGCTCCTTAGATGAAGTAAAAGAAAGTGAAATTCACAACTGTTTAACTTTGCTGCTATGGTTTACATTTATTCATTCATTAGATAATTACTAAATGCCTAAGATTTGCCAGGTATTGTGCTAGGTGCTTTATATATATATTTTCTTACCAAGTTCTTTAAATTTTTTGTATGTTGTTGTTATGTGCCGTCGAGTCGGACTCGACTCATAGTGACCCCTCCTTGGGTTTCCGAGGCAGTATCACTACGGAAGTAGATTGCCCCATCTTCCTTCCGAGGAGTTGCTGGTGGATAGCACATGATATTTTCTCCATTTGATACATAATTTAACTGAGGGGGCAAAGCTGGATTCAGGGAGTTGAGTTTGAAACTGTAGGTTTGAATGAAGGCTTGAGAGAGTCTGCAAACTTATTTGTTGAAAAAAAAAAAACTGGGTTTGTCTTACAGCATTTCTCATAGGCTGCATTTTTGATGATGCATCACTGTGATTGCATCCTCTTTTCCCTACATTTTCTGTAAATTGAAAGCCAGATCTAGAGACTTGATCAGATTCAAGTACAGTATAAAATTTTGGACAAGATTACTTTGTAGGTACATTTGTTTTTTGTGCTTTTTCTTACATGTTATGAAATTGAGAGTTGGAAAGCTAAATGGCTAACTACAAAAACAGCCAAACCAAACCTACTGCTGTTGAGTGGATTCCAATTCATAGTGACCCCCACTGGGTTTCCAAGGCTTTAGATCTTTACCGAATCAGAATGCCTGGTGTTTCTTTCATGCAGTAGCTGGTGGGTTTGAATCCCTGATCTTTTGATTACAGCCAAATGCCTTAACCACTACACTACCAGAGCTCCTCAAATGGCTAGCTACATATAGAAAATCTAAAGAAGGATAGCATGCTTGGTAAAGTAGAGGGTCAGTGAAAAAGAGGAAGATGCTTAATGAGATGGATTGACACAGTGGCAGCAACCATGGGCTCACGCATAGCAAGGATTGTGAGGATGGCACAGGACTGGTCATTGTTTTGTTCTGTTGGACATAGGCTCACTGTGAATTGAAACCACCTTGATAGCACTTGGCAACAACAAAGAAAGAACTTTGTTAGTGTAGCTCTCCTCTTATCTGGTTTGTTTTCATATCAAAATTAGCTACAACACATTTATGATAGTAAAATCTTCCCCCACCCCCCAAAAAATTCTTCTGAAATGTTCCCCTTTTGGGTTGAAATTTCTTACATATTTTTAAATTCTACTTTGGCATTTGTGGTGTAGTAAATTACATGGTATGGCTTTTGTAGCCATAGTGTTTGTAACTCCTACTTTGCTGTGAGCAGCTGAATAAGTGATTGTTAAAGTAATCCATCTGGGGCAGCACAAAGTAATCTTCTGGGAAGTTCACTCCCTCTCAGGTATATAGAATTCTGATGTTGGGATCGGTTGATTTTGGCTACTCTGCCAGGCTCAAAAAGTAGCCGAGCCCTCCTAGAGCAGAAGGGGAGTTTCTTTGCTGGCTGAGAGAGACATGCTGCTGAGAGACATGAGAGATGTGTGCCGCTGAGAGAGACGCATGCCGCTGAGAGAGACACACAATGCTGAGAGACTAAGAGAGACACTCACTGCTGAGACATGCTACTGAGAGAGACTGAGCATATTCCTGAACTTGGATTGTAGCCTATTGTTTCCCTAATAAACCCCATAATCTGTGAGTTCTGTGTGGCCACTGCCACGAATTATTGAACCCAGCAGAGTGGTGAGGGGTGTTATGGGTGGAGTAGTTGGTGAAAAGGTTAGTAAGAGGATTGGAGGGTGGTGGCATGTCTTGGCTCATAAGAACAGGTCTTAGGCTCCTGCTGATTCTATCTTCCTCTTGTGTAGTTAGAAGAGGTCAGAAGATGGCATCTCCTTGCCCCTTTAGCAGTTGGTATCAGAAGTGGTGGGATTCATCACAGTGGCTCCAGACTCATAGAAATGTGACTCAAAAACCAAATTGACTGCCATCTAGTTGATTCGATTAGACTCATAGTGAGCCTCTCCTTGGGTTTCCAAGGTGGTATCTCTACAGAAGTAGATTGCCCAGTCAGCCTTCCGAGGAGTGGCTGATGGGTTTGAACCACAGATGCCTTAGGCACTGTGCCACCAGAGCTCTCATAGAAGCATGAGATTTTGTAAAAGAAGGAAGGAAGGGGCTTGGAAAGTGAAACTTTGGGTTCTTAGATGGTTACTTTGTTTAGTGTTACCTATTAAAGGAGATAGGAGCTCTGGTAGCATAGTGCCTAAGGCACTTGACTGCTAACCAGAAGGCTGGTGGTTCAAACCCACCAGCCACTCCTCAGAAGGAAGGTTGGGCAATCTACTTCCGTAGTGATACTGCTTCGGCAACCCAAGGAGGGGTCGCTATGAGTCCGGTCAGACTGGATGGCACATAACAACAACAACAACATTAAAGGAGAGAATTGATCCAGAGGCTAGGGCTTTTGGTTACACCCAGCTAAAGGCCCAAGGCCGTATACATAGAATGGGAAGATAATCAAGGTGAAGAGATGAAACTGGAATGTCTTCAAAAGGATTATGTTTTAGATCATGTGTTTATCTGAATGTACTGTGGATACTGAATGTTCTCTTACCTACTTGTGCATTAGAAATGATTATGGGGTATGGATAACAGCCTGTAAGTCCACCTTAAGCTGATACTTGATTGACTATGTTTAAAGGGGAAATAGAATTTGCCCAGAAGAAGCACAAGCTTTTTTTTCAGACCCTGTGTGTAGAGTTTTGGGGGTTTAGGTAGAAAACTTGAGCCCCACCCAGAACAGGCTGAGTGAGGAAATTTGCATTTGAAATGACCCACCTAGAATTCTGAGCAGTGTGACTGCTAATATGAAAGCAGAGGGTTTAGGGACAACTAAGGGAGACAAGCTTGTCTGTCAGTTTGTCATCCTGTGGTGGCTTACTGGTTGCTGTGAGGCTGGAGGCTATGCCACTGTGTTGCAAAATGCCAGCAGGGTTACCCATGGTGGAGAGGTGTCAGTGGAGCTTCCGGGCTTAGACAGGCTCGGAAGAAGGAAGAGGCCATCCACTTCTCAAACAATTGGCCAGTAAAAACCCTTATGAGTAGCAATGAAACACTGTCTGATATATTACTGGAAAACTTTATGAACAGCCCAGAAACATTGTCCGACATAGTGCCAGAAGATGAGCCCATTGGGTTGGAAGGCACTGAAAGTTTGACGGGGGGGAGCTGACTCTTCAGAGTAGAGACGACCTTAATGATATGGATAGTATAAAGCTCTCAGGACCTCCATTGGCTGATGTGGCACAACTCAAAATAGGCAGAAACAGATGGAAACATCTATTAATAATTGGAACATGCAACGTACAAAGTATGAATCTAAGAAAACTGGAGATTGTCAAAAATGAAATGGAATGCATAAAGATTGATATCCTAGGCATTAGTGAGCTGAAATGGACTGGTTTTGGCTATTTTGAATCAGACAACCATATGATCTACTATGCCGGGAATGACAAATTGAGAAGGAATGGTGTGGCATGCATCATCACAAAGAATGTTTCAAGATCTGTCCTGAAGTACAACACTGTTAGTGATAGGATGATATCCATATGCCTATAAGGAAGACCAGATAATACTACTATTATTCAAATTTACACACCAGCCACCAAAGCCAAAAGAAAAAAACAAAAACAAAAAAAAAACAAACCAAACTCACAGCTGTCAAGTTGGATCCGACTCATAGTGACCTCTCCTGGGGTTTCCAAGGTGGTATCACTGTGGAAGTAGATTGCCCAACCTTCCTTCCAAGGAGTTGCTGGTGGGTTTGAACCACCAGCATTCTAGTTTGCAGTCAAATGCCTTAGGGACTACACCACTAGAGCTCCCTACCAAAGCCAAAGATGAAAATATTGAAGATTTCTACCAACTTCTGCAGCATAGTGGCTAAGGCACTTGACTGCTAACCAGAAGGCTGGCGGTTCAAACCCACCAGCCACTCCTCGGAAGGAAGGT